CTCATTGAGGGTCTTCTCTTTGTTTCCACTGAATTTTCCCAAGGACGGGTCCCTTCTGATAACATGTGCAAAGTGTGTGAGATGAAGTTTTTCCATCCTGACTTTTAAGGAGCATTCTGGCTATACTTCTTCCAAGACAGATTGATTGTTCTTGTGACAGCTTGGTGGTGGAGGTTATGTGCTGTGGAGTCAGTTCCAATTCATAGCGACCCTGTACAAAGTTTCCGAGGCTGCAAATCTTTACGGGAGCAGAAAGCCTCATCTTTCTCCCATGGAACAGCTGGTAGTTTTGAACTGCTGACCCTGAGGTTAGCAGTCCGATTCGTATCCACTATGCTACCACAAATCCTTATGTGACAGTTTAGGAAATGTTTATTGTTATTTGCCAACATCATAATTTAAAGGCATCGATTCTTTGCTCTTCCTTATTTTATGTCCAGTTTTTTGCATGCCCGTGAGGAGGTCAAAAATACTGTGGCTAAGATCAGGTGCACCTTAGTCCTCAGAGTGATATCTTTGCTTATTAATACTTTTAAAAGATCTTTTGTAGCAGATTTTCCAAATGAAGTAATACGTCATTTGAGTTTTTGACTTTTGCTTCCATACACATTGATTGGGGATTCAAGTAAAATGAAATCCATTACGGCTTCAATCATTTCTCCAATTCCATGATGTTGCTTATTGGTCCAGTTGTAAGGATTTTTGTTTTCTTTACGTTGAGATGCAATTTGTACTGAAGATCTTCATCTTTGATCTTTATCAATAAGTGATTTACTTCACTTTAAGTTCTCTGGAGATCCCACCATAGAATTGTGCAAGATCAATGACTTCTTCATTGCAAATATCTTTTTTAAACAATATAAAAGATGATTCTACATGTGGACTTCAACAGATGGAATGCACGGAAATCAAATTGACTACATCTGTGGAAAGAGACAGTGGAAAAGCTCCACATCATTAGCCAAAACAAGGCAGGGTCAGACTGTGGAACAGACCATCAATGGCTCATACACAAGTTCAGGCTGAAGCTGAAGAAAATGAAAACAAGTCCACGAGAGCCAAAACAGGACCTTGAGCATTTAGAGATCATCTCAAGAACAGATCATAAGAGTTGTGGGTATGACATCAAGAACATCATACAGGAAGAAAGCAAAAGGTCATTAAGAAGGCAAGAGAGAAAGCAAAATGGATGTCAGAAGAGACCCTGAAACTTGCCCTCCAGTGTAGAGATGCTAAAGCAAATGGAAGAAATGAGGAATAAAATTGCTGAACAGAAAATGTCAAAGGGCAGCTTGAGAAGACGGAGTCAAGCACTGTAAGGAAATGAGCAAAGAGCTGGAGTTAGAAAACCAAAAGGGAAAAACACGCTCAGCATTTTTCAATATAGAAAGACCTGAAGAAAAAAATTCAAGCTTCAACTTGAAATTCTTTGGTCAAAGTATTGAATGATGCCCCAAAGCATCAAAACCAGATGGGAAGAATACACAAGAGTCACTGTACCAAAAATAAATGGTTGATGTTCAACCATTTCAAGAGGTAGCATATGTTTAAGAGCCAGTGGTCTGAAGGAAGAAGTCCAAGGTGCACTGAAGGCATTGGCAAAGAACAAGGCTGCAGGAATTGATGTTATAAAAATTGAAATCCTTCAACAAACTGATGCAGCACTGGAGGCACTCAGTCATCTATGCTAAGAAGTTTGGAAGACAGCTGCCTGGCCAACTGATTGGAAAAGATCGAAAGAGGTGACCCAATGGAATGCAGAAATCATCAGACAATATCATTAATATTACATGCAAGTAAACTTTTGCTAAAGTTAATTCAAAAACGGCTGCAACAGTACATTGACAGGAAACTTCCAGAGATTCAAACCAGATTCAGACGAGGAAGTGGAATGAGGGATTTGATTGCTGATGTCAGATGGATCTTGGATCTTGACTGGAAGCAGAGATACCATAGAAAGATGTCTACCTGTGCTTTATTGACCATACAAAGGTGTGTGGATCACAACAAGCTATGAATAACATTGTGGAGAATGAATATTTTGGAACACTTAATGGTGCTCATGAGGAACCTGTATATAGACCAAGAGGCAGTCATACAAATAAAACAAGGGGACACTGAATGGTTTAAAATCAGGAAAGGTGTGCACCAGGGCTGTATTCCTTCGCCATACTGGATTATATGAAGAAGAATGTGGCATTAAAATTGGAGGAAGACTCATTTACAACCATGCAGATAATACAACTTTGCTTGTTGTAAGTGATGAGGACTTAAGATATTTACTGATAAAGTTCAAAGTCCACATTGCACTACAATGTAAAGAAAACAAAATTTCCCCCACTGGTCCAATAAATAACATCGTGCTAAATGGAGGAAAAAATTGAAATTGTCAAAGACTTCACTTTGCTTGATTCATCATCAACACTCATGGAAGCAAGAGTCATGAAATCAAACACTGTATCTCATTAGGCAAATCTGCTGCACAAGACAGTGGTCAAGAGCAAAGATGTTAGTTGGAGAACTAAAGTGCGCCTGACCCAAGCCATGGTATTTTCAGTAGCCTCACATGCATATTAAAGTTGGACAATGAATAAGGGAGACCGTAGAGGAACTGATGAGTTTGTTATAGTGTTGAAAAAGAATTTAAAGGTATCATGGACTTTCAGAAGAACCAACAAATCTGTGTTAGAAGAAATACAACCAGCATGCTCCTTACAAGCCAAAATGGCCAGACTTCGTCTATTATACTTTGGAAGTTTGTCAGGAGGGATTAGTGCCTGGACAAGGACATCATGCTTGGTAAAGTGGAGGGACAGATAAAAATAGGAAGACCACCACCAAGATGGATTGGCACAGTGGCAGCATCAATGGGCTCAAGTGTAGCAGCGAGTGTTAAGGATTGCACCACATCTGGCAGTGTTTCATTCTCTTGGACTTAGGATCAATTGCTATGAGTCGGAAGCGACTCAACAGCACTTAACAACAACCATTTCTGGGGGACAAAATTAAATTCTTAACAAGCAATAACTTGAAAAGAAAATGGCAAGCATTACCTCAGGCCATAGCTACCTATAAACTATTGTAAGGATTTTATCTTTAGGTTGTACTCAGGGAACTTTCCCAGAAATTATAGTAGTGGAAAAAAGAGATTTTATTCAGCACATGTATCAAAGAGAAAACAAAGGTAAGGACAGACATGGTATCAGAACATTGTCTGTTGGAGTTAAGAGAATTAAAAAACCAACAATATATATAAAAATTTAAAACTTCATCAGCATTGCACTGCGAACTACAAGGTTGGCAGTTCAAACCCACCAGCTGCTCCTTGGAAACCCTATGTAGGATTGCTATGAGTTGGAACGAACTCAGTGACACCAACAACACACTAACCACACTTTTTTGGTCACTCTATACTAGGGGCTTTGTCTACAATACTTGCTTTCCAAACAACAGTCAGTATATGATGGTTCAGAAAGCTTACAGTATTATTTGTTCTCGCCATATGCCTGGGGCCACTCCATTGCAATGGTAACAATCCCAGGATGGAGACTGGCTGGAGCCAGCATCTGCCCTGTGCCATCTGCCTGGCAGCAGCACATCGTGGGCACTTCCCCGGGGGTGGGGCCTTGTGAGCAGATGAACATGGCTCCTGCTGTCTTCTCCACTTAGCTTTTGTGTCTGAACCCAGGCTTGTTTTTAGTTTTAAAGGTTTTACTCTTTGATTTGCACATAGCAATGCGAACAAATTCAGTTCAATTCTGTCACAGGGTCATATGTTGTCTACTTTTTTGTCTTCTCACATGCTACTTTGTGGGGGGTTTTTTTTGTTGTTGTTTTTTTAATTTAAGGTTTTTTATTATGGATTGAGTGAAAGTTTACAGGGCACATCATCAGTTTCACATTCAATACTTTGTATTTTTTTAAATAATTGTGCACCTGAGTTGAGATGGATGTACAAGAGGGTCTTCAAAAAACATTTGTGGAAAAATGTCATTCTATTTTTCACAAACTTTTTGATCTCCCCTCAGAGATATGTTCAGTGTTCACCTTTCCTCTCTTCATACTGTATTCTTCATCTGTTAAACGGTGAGGTCTTTCTCCAGAGCGGGATGAAGACCAAATGGGTATGAAGCAAAAATAGCCAAGTACACAAATGTAAGGTGTTTACAGATGTCTCCCAACTTCTAAATTCTAAAGTCTTCTCAAGAACTAATGACCTAGTTTAGCAGTATCGGAGCCCTTTCCATTTGCATTGCTTGCCACCATGGTCATCAGGTAGGTCAGTAAAACAAACCTCAAGTCAGTGTTCAGCGTGGCTCCAGCTGGCCGAGCTGCTCCTCGAAACTACACAGGACTTCAAACCCACTGCCATGGAACAGATTCCAACTCTCAGTGCCTTCAGGGCCGAGTCCAGCGGCCCCAGAACCAGTGTTCCCAAGGCCACGTATTTTCATTGGAGAAGACTGCCACATCTTTCTCCAGGGAGAGGCTGATGGTTTCAAACTGCTGACCTTTTGCTTAGCAGCTGAGTGCTTACCCACTGCACCACCAGAGCATCTTCCTTGACACTAATTGCTAAAATTAAGCTTAGATTATTGGTGGATTTGTTTGTTGGCTTGGCTTCTAGTTGATTGGCTTTGTAGGAAAAGTTGGCTATCCCATTTTGGTTTTGAAGTGTGTTGTGTAAGAATTATGTCTTGGTTTGGTACCATTCTGTCATTAAAATAAAGGGGAAAAATGGACTTTTCTTCAGTAAACCGATTGGTTTTGCATTTCTTCAGTGGCAGGCGTGTGCCCTCTGGATAGAGATGTGATGGTGATAAAGTGGGTGGGTGGCTGCCCGCCCACCCCTTGGAGCTGTGTGAACGCCGCCCAATGTGGGCTGTTATTCCCTCCAGCCTCCCATGTCCATCTGCTGCCATTTAGCCTTTAATAGGGGCCAGCAGAGGTAAAAATGTTGTTGGGTTTATTTCTAAACTAATTCTATTTCTCTGTTCCAGAAAATATTTTCCGAACCTGGAAGCTTACCCATGGCAACCATCAGTAAGCTTCGCGAGAGCTGCAGAGCCAAGTTAGTGGCTCAGGGCTGAGGCAGCGGGCTTCCCAAGTGCACATTCCCCCCACTGCTGGCACTGACAATGAAGTATCGTTCCCAGAATTGACACTTGACCAATTTTTACGGCTTTCCTTTTTAGTGTTGTAAATACTTTCGTCACTTTCGTCGTGATTTTGTTTTTTAAAGAGGAATTTCAAATCATGTCGTTCTACAACTCTTGGGTCATGAGCCATGAAGTCATACGTTTCTAAAGAAAAACAATATATATGAAATCTTGCTAATATTTTATAAATTAATAATATATAAAACATGAAATCTGTGCATTGGTCTATAATAAACTATATCAATACCTCTGAGATTGTGATGATCCAATTTAAAATTAAAACAGTTACTGGTCACTTGTGTTATTAACATCAATCAAAATAATTCTGTTCCTTTTTCTGTGGCTTTATAGGAGGGTTGACCACATGGCCAGTAATTTTGCTTTAGAAAGGCAATACTTGAAAATTATTTTCAAAGGGTTGGGTTACATAAGGACTACGCTTACATAAAGTGAGAGCCTGAGGAATGGGAAGAGTTTGATACCAGTCCCTGGAAGCTGAGTGCATGGTCTATCCTCCTAGAAGGAAGGGGAGGCTAAACAGCCATGTGAGGCTAAGACTAACCACACTCCCAGTGCAACCTGGGAAAGACAGGAACCTGCTTTAAAGTTCCAGTTAACACCCAGTCAGGGCTTGCTACTCTCCCTTCTAAACTACCCTGCTTTTCACTTGTTTCCCTGCACAAAATAGCCAAGGGTCCCTGGAGTGAAGACATCCGTTGCCTGGGCAGGGTGTAAGGAGGCGTGGTGGCACAGTGGTTAAGCATTCAGCTGCTAACCTAAAGATCAGCAGTTTGAAACTTTTTAGCAGTTTACTCCTGCAAAGATTGTTAAGTGCCATTGAGTCAGTTCTGAGTCAGAGTGACTCTGTATAGGGTGTCTGAGGTATAAGTCTTTGCGGGAGCAGAAAGCCTCATCTTTCTCCCATGAAGTGGCTGGTGGGCTAGAACCACTGACTTTGCAGTTCACAGTCCAGTGCTGATCCTCTAGACCCACCATGTTCCACTGCAAAGATTACAGCCTTGGAAACCGCACAGGATGCTTCTACTTCTTTGTCCTGTAAAGTTACGAGTTGGAATCGGTTCAAGAGCATGGGCTTGGTATGGTTCGGTTCGGTTTGGCTGAGCCCTGTGTGGGCCAAGCAGAGGAGCCTGCTGATGGATGTCCCAAACTTGCATTCTCAGTTCAGCAGCTTAATCATCTCTGTTGTTACTTGCCAATACCCCATAGTTTTTCCAAATAATCCGTCCAATTACAGCTATTTGCCAAAATCTCGTGGGATGATTTTATTGTATTTTTCTCATTCCATTCTGCATGTTACATTTCCTATCGATTTTACATTTCCTATCGATTTCTGCCTGCGCGCCTCAGCTGACTGGCTTCTTAAATTAGATCTGCCTCCATAGAAGTTTCACATCCTCTCAAAAAGAGAAAAGGTAGTCAGTTAGGAAAATGAAGTGTGGTTTAACACTGTTAAAACTCATCCACCTGCAGCAGCCTAGATTACTGGGTCCCTAGTTCTGGATTCCAGTTCTATCCCCTACTTCTTGTCTCATCAGACCAATGACTGTAAACTCCTGAGCCCCAGTTCCTTACCTTTAGCAGGAGAGTGACTAATTTGATCACTAAGGTGCCTTCCTCCCCGCTGGGGGAAATAATGATGTCACAAGCATACCCATTACTAAAGCTGGGGACACAACCAGAATGTGACCCTGTCCCAATTCCTATCACACTGTAACTAGACTTACTAGTAGCCAATGAAACAGTGGACTCCAATAAACCACAGCTCACCACTGCTGGGTTTATTGGGTTTATCACAGGTTGGGGGGACATAAAGGATCTTGGAGACCCGAGGCTGGAAGCTGGAAGCCAGCCCAGCTAAAGCCATGCAGAGCGCCCGGCAGGACCACATTCTGGATGATTCTTGGCTGCTCTCAAAACATTCATGGGGGCCACAATTAGCAGCCATCAGAACAATGGTGCTTAACTGCAGTACAGAACACGGACGTTTGCTTTCTTGGTAGTCTTGTAGATTTTGTTTGATCACCATCTGCCACCGACAATACTAACACCTACATGTGTGCTTTGATAACAACTGTTTAAACTGCTCTCATAAATGTGTAGTCAATAATCCTGGCTCCCGGTGCATCAAGTCCAAGAACTTGTAAGCACACTCTGTCTGAAGCAGTTACTGAGGAAATTTATCTAAAACTTGTAGAGTGCAGTTAAGTCAATTTCAACTCGTTAATGACCCTGCTTAAGGTTTCTAAGCAGCAGCTAAAGGGTTTAACACACCCAACCATGTGGTTAGCAGTCCAGCGCTTATCTTACAGTGCCACAACCTGACCCTATTATCTAAACTAGCATTTCTTAAGATCTCATAAACTCCCCAGAAGGAACCCCAAACGAATATGCTTCCTCTTGGAATACAAGCAGCTGGAAGTGTAAGACATCTCAGAGTTAGTTGGCTTGTCCTCAACATTAACTCCAATAAACACCAGAACACTCGTCAGCTAACATTGCTGCTTTGAATCTGCAGGGAAAGAATGCTGTCCACTTTGGTGGTGGGGGGGGGGGGTTGCTCTATAGGGCATCTGGCATCTGGTTCACATGCTGGTTCTTCTGGCTGTTTGGTGCCTTGGTGCGTTCTCTGCCTGCATGGCCTCCTCTTAATGCGCTTAGGTTTTCATGAGTCCCAAAACGTCTGCAAAGATGCAAACACCAGGATGGGTGACATGCTAGGAGCTGGTCTCTTCTTTCTCAGTTCTGGATTACATGTAAGTGATCATTCTGCATAACTTGGCTGAAACGGTCCCCAAAATTGTTCTGTATAGTTTAGACTGGAGAAATGTATGTCTTTAGGGCTCCTGTGAATTATCTTGCTATTTGAGGGCTTTAAGAAAAACTCTGTCCTCAGGGATCTGGAGTTTTCATTTCTCTAGCCAACCAGCTATTGACACTGAAAGCCGTGTTCTGATCAGCATCCCTGCGTCTAGGGCTACACTCTTCAATTTGCAGTTTGAAAGGATTGCTTAAACTTGTTCAAGTTGGATACAGCAATATAGAAATGGCACAGGGCTATCTCAGGCTTTATCTGGGAGCAAAAGTCCACGTGGAAATCTTATGAGCATGACTATAGGATCCACTGATAAACCAGCAGATTCTGGGATACAGTTCTTGGATGGAGATATGCTAAGTCAGGGAAGCTTAAATTCCAGGGGCCACTGGGCAGGCTCTTCTCAGACTTTGATACTGCTTTTTGGGGGTCTTAAAAAGAAACTGAAGCACTTCGGAATGAGCTCTTGCTCAAAAAAATGTAAAGGGATGCTCTGGTGAGACCAGTGGCAGCCTCCTCCTATGGTCAGCTTCCCGAAGCAGCCAACAAGGAAGCCTGGCCTGCAGATGGCCAAGTGGGAAGGCCACACGTTCAGATGCAGGCATCTCAGGCCTTTTATAAGGACCCTTGGAGGTACAGTGGCTAAGTGGTCAGCAGTTTAAACCATCACCAACTCCTGGGAGGAAAAGCTGTGGGCAGTCTTCGTGAAGATTTACAACCTTGGGAATCCTATGGGGCAGTTGTAAGTTCTAAGGTTGCTATCAGAATCGACTAGATGACACACAATAGGACTTTTTACTTCTACACTATAGCATAGCTCTGGTAGCGTAGTGGTTATGAATTGGGCTGTGAACCGCAAGGTCAGCAGTTCGAAACTACCAGCTGTTCCACAGAAGAAAGATGAGGCTTTCTGCTCCCGTAAAGATTTACAGCCTCAGAAACCCTTTTCAGGGTCTCTATGGGTCGGAACCAACTTGACATGGGAAAAAGATGAGGCTTTCTGCTCCCATAAAAGATTTATAGCCTTAGAAACCCTGTGTGTGTGTGGGGGGGGGGGGGTCACTGTGAGTCTGCACATAACCACCACTAATGGAGGAAGTCATTAAGAATAAAACCCCACAGACACACCCCTCTCATCACTGACAGGAATCTTAAGATTCGAGATTAGATTGTAACTTTCAGGTTTAAAGATTAAAAAAAACCACATGCTCTGACCTCCTCTCTCCATCCAGCTTCCTTATTTTCAACTTGTTCATGTTTTAAAAGGATGGGGGTGAATGCCTCAGGCAGCAACATGACCACAGTGCTCTGACACAAGACTGAAGCTAAGATACAACTAATGTTCCCCTTCAGTCACCAGCCAAAAAAATAGCTTGACGCCAGGTGTCACTGCACGGCCCACTCTCACCTCAGCCCCTTCCCCACTTGTGATTATTACTATTGTATAACTAGGAGGGGGCTCAGAGTTTGTGGAAAAATAGAAAAGACAGAAGGAATTCTTCCACAAACAACTTTGACTTTTTATTGTGAATTAGGTGAAGGTTCACAGAGCAGATCAGTTTTCCATTCAACAGTTCACACACATTTTCTTTCACCTCATCGACTACAATCCCCACAATGCAACACTTGTCCCACTTCTTCCCTGTTTCCTGTTTCCATTCCTCCAGCTTTCCCAACCTTGTGAACTTCATCCCTGGGTCTCCAATCTCCAGTGGTTGCTCATCCTGAGGTGTGCGCACCTCCCTGGTGTTATGGATCCCCTGATAAGACTATTCTTTGCTCCACACTAAGCCCAGGGGGTGAGGTCATTTTCCAGGCCTGAAGGGTGACCAAGGGCCATAGTCTCAGGGGTTCCAACCGTAAAGTCTGATCTTTATGACGTTGAGTTTTATTCCACATTCTCCTTCCACTCTATCCAGCCCTTTTAATGCGATCCCTTGTAAAGCAGTTGGCACCGTCTAGTACTTTAGGTCTCAGGTTCGTGGAACCTAATGTTCACACTTCCACGAACTTGTTGAAGCCCACTCCTAACTGCTGAATATACTCAACACCATTTTTTTGTGAGCCTTCATTTTTAGCTGACAAAAGTACTAGGTCCAGACAATCAAAGAAAGAGAATTTTTATTAGCATTGTTACAGGCAATGCATTCCATATGAACCGACCCTTGAAGTGTCCAACCTCAACCAAGCTGGAAGCCGAGTAAATCAGTGAAATCTAGCTTGTTCACAAGTGCAGAAATTGGATCACCCTGAACTTCAAACCGAAGAATGAAAATCACTTTACAAAAAAGTAAATAAAAATAACACCCATTTTATTATTTAAAAAAGTGCCAGCTCTCAAGTGGCAGGGCATCAAAAATATCAAAGGATATGCCCAAGTAATGTAATGCTTGAATGTTGAACTGTTCATCCCCCGAAACGGGCCATGCCTGGCCTGGTTTTTAAAGCTTAATTTAAGCTTTTCTGATTTTTATCTTTTGGAGTACTTAAATTCTTTTCTCTCTCTACTCTTTTGAATTTAACTGTGTCAGCCTAACAGTTAGCTAACCATCAGTTCCAAGTGTTAAGACCAAAGATTTTTCTCTTAAAGGCTTAAATCTGAATACAAGAAAAGAATGAGGAAACCAAACACCAGAACCTTAGAAAGTCAAATGATAGTGGAGCCAGTTTAGAAAAGCACTCTTACCCTTACCTCAGAGGTCTACTTTGGTAAATATTAATATTTAACCAGTTAGCAAAATATTTAACCATGTTAGCAAAATTAACACCGCCATTTCAATAGTTACTCTCTTGTGCATAGTAAATGTTGCAAGATGAACTTCACATTTGATAAAGCAGACTTGGAAAACAGTTTGCAAGAAAGTATGCCTCCCTCTTGATACCAATTTAAGCTTGGGGAAAATGAATATTAGACCTCTTGCAACTGCTGCTGATCTACGGTGGAGGAGAGCAAGCGTGAACCCTAAATTGTCTGATACCCCGCGTGACTTCTCTTCCTGCCAATGAGATAAGCAATGAGGACAATGAGGACGAGGCCTGCAAGGGCGCCCCCTACAGCGATGGGGATCAGCATGTTGTTTTCATCCAGCTGACATTCCTCCACTGAAAAGGAAAACAAGAATCACACGGTCACAGCGTGCTTACACCAGGCACAGCTTATAAATAGGTCTGTCCCGCTTCTCCGCCTCTTCCCACACTCCAACAGGAAAGAAAATTAACCCCAAGTGGGAGAGTCCAAGTTTCCAAGTCTCTAGAAGAGAAAAGAGCTTTCTGCAAGGCTATGCAATTATGGAAAAGTAGGGTCCCACAAAGAAGCCCTAGTTGAGAGCTCAGCTGCATTTGAACTCAGCACCGGGTCCCTCTGCAGGAGGCAAGGCCTGGCCAATCTGCTCCTGGAGACAGAGCGGCTTTGGGAAGCCTCGGGGGGAGGGGTCGTCCTCCTGGGTCACATGAAACGGACTCAAGATCATGTCACAAGAGTACCGTGGGGCTTATTTGGAAGCAATTTTAAGACAATTGAAAACCCTGTCTTGAATTCATCTTTGAGATGTTTCTGATCTTCCTTAAAATGTTTGATCCTTGTAAAAGAAACTGGTACAAAGCTTCTGCGATGTGGGAAGATGTCTGCTTGAGTTTCCTTTAAAACTTTAGTATTAGCCCAGACCTCGAGACTGTTTCTTTTCCATGGCACAAAAGACAAAAGGTATCCTTTTTAAAGACTAAGTGTGTTACAGAGAACGTGACCGCAAAGACACGTGTTTGGAATAAGACTGCATAAATGAACTGGAACCCTAGTAGCAATGCATTCTGACTTTCCCCGGTACATTCTTATATGCAACCTGGACAGAGAGGAGAGCAGCAGTGACTTACTCTTCAACTGTGTCACGTACTCTTAACAGTTATAATAATGCTACCTCTTTCCAAAACAAGATAAACACAGGATTACAGATTTCCTCTATAAATCTTAGACTGGGAAAAGAAAAGCCACGCTTCAAAGAGAAAAGGAGAGTCCCCACCCCAACCCTTCTCTCCCGGTATAGACGCTATCAAATATCCAAAACACAACCACGGAATGTCAGAGCTAGAAAGAGTCTGAACCGCTTCAATTCCTACCATCACTGCGAACACTGCACTCAAGGTTACCTACCGGATCCAAATTCATTGCCTTCCACTTTGAAAGCCTGGACCCACACATTGAAGACGTTGACTGAAAATGTCTTTGTGACTTGGATGTTTTCCTCAGCGTTACACCTGTACGAATTCCCAATAGTGGCCTGAAGTGCTCTCAGGGAATCGTTGGTAGCTTTAAAGACGGGATCTGCAAGTACATCGAAGAAGTCTGGTTATTCTAGAAAATCCTGGGTGGGGACGTGTGTTCATGGACGGGTGCAAACCTTACCTCTGGCATCAGGCAGAGTTGTATTTACATGGATTCCTCTCAGGAAAAACCGGCTAGCACTGGCATTCTTAAAGAGAAAGAGGAGATTCCAGAATCCAATTGACCAGATTCAGTTGTTAAGGGAGGGAGGGGAGCATCACACTTAAAAGGCCTTTGACCTTCTGTATTTCTTGCTTTAGGATGGCTTTACAAACTTTCCCATCTAAACAAGCATCGCATAAATCTGGAGAACACACATATTCAGATAAATATTACTAAACATTCTTTAGCCAAATCGCAAGACTCTTTGCTAAAATGGGGGCTGAAGGAGCGATCTTCTGAAAAATGAAGGCTTTCGGAAATGGCAGAGGGAAGCATCACCAGGAAAGTTAAAAGTACAGGACATCCAACTTGCTGCCCACTTGGTTACATAGCGCCATTTCTATTCCTCACACTTTTCTTCTGGTAACTTTGTAGGACTCTTCCCAGGCGGGCACAGAGTAATGGAGACTGAACGCTCAGGGCAGAGGACGGGGAGAGACCGTGGACTGTCCACTAGACTAGTTCAAGTGAGCCCAGCAGCTGTGTGGCACATCGTAGCACTCGTTAAATGCTGAATAAAAAAACGATGGCCCTTGTTAACAAAAACGAGAAAGGGACGCGGAGGAAGCAAAAAGGGCCTTCACAAAGGGCCAACTGAAAGAAAAACAAAAAGGGAGCAACTGTCTTTTCCTCCTGTGCCCAGCCCTGGCCTCCACTGCCACCGCCACGCTGCAGCCCTGGCTTGCTGAAGGAGCAAGATAAGAATGCTGCCAGGCACTGTGTTGTTTCATGAGGGAAAAAAGAAACTGCAGAAAGCAAATTATAGTAAAAGACATGCTAAGAACTCAAGGCAGGTTTGACAGCAAACTCCTCGAGTGTTAAAGGGCCGAGGCTCTCACCATTCCGAACGTGAAGCGGAGCAGGTTGATGCCTTCACCCCGCAGCTCCAGGGTCACCAGACGAGAGGAGCAGCTCCCACTGGCACTGGTCTTGTTCGGGTTGATGTTGAGCACCCTCGTCACGGTCTAGGTGAGCAAGGCAAGCAAGTGACCACTCCCCAAAATAAGAAAAACAACCCGAAAACAGCAACCTTCATTTTAACCAGAAGAGGAAAATATTAAAAGTCTATGCTACAGCAGCTTTCTGGGCCCCAAACACATTTTCTTACACCCCACCCCACTTTCCAATTAGGAGCTCTGGTAGTGTAGTGGTTATGGGTCAGGCTGCTGGCATCAAGGTCAGCAGTTGGAAACTACCAACTGTTCCGCAGGAGAAAGATGAGGCTTTCTGCTCCTGTAAAGATTTAGAGCTTCAGAAACCCTGTGCAGGGTTGATATGGATTGGAACCAACTCCGCAACACACCACAAACACCACGAGCACTTCCGATTGCTCCTTCCGGAATGATGTGCGACTGTATGAAAAGCGTCACCTCAGATCCTCCTCTCCCTTCACACACATTTTAATTCCTTGTAAGCTATGAACCACCACTAAAGAAGACAGGCTTATTTTAAAGAATTTAAAGAAAGAGTAAAGGAATAACGCAAATGTTTGTGAGGGAGGAGTTTCATTAACTGCAATGTTCATTCCAGACCATTTTTTTCTAAAGAGTACCAAATAATACATATTTTAGAGGATGGATGGACCTAACGGTATCGTCTTTGTCCCCATGTCCACCTATGATGCTTCAAAGAATAAATAGGTGTGCCTGACTGTGTCCCAACACAATTAATTTACAAAAACAGGCATGCTGGTTCCATTTCTCTAGGTCTCATATCATAACAGGCTGTGTTATCAAGCTCAATTCCTGATACTAATTTATAGAACACGCGACTCTCTGATGGACACAGAGAGAGGTCCCCAGGCCATCTCTTTACGTACCGCGTTGTCACTCTTCTCGTACGTCATGTTCAGCTGCACCGCCATCCTTGCAAGCAGGCAGGTTCCGTTGCTGCCACTCACGTTGTAATTAGACACCGAGGGGTTTTCTGGTACTGGAGAAGGCGAAGGAGTTGTAGGCTTTGGACTTGGGGCTGCTGTTGTTGGGGAGATGTAGTCTTGCTTACAGTGTGTCTCTAGGGGAACAGCAGAAATGAATCACTGGGTTCACAGGAAGGAAATTCAAAACCTAGAATCTTACAGCTATCAATCTTCATAAGAAGATCCAGACTCGGAACTTAAAACAGACATCACTCTTGGAACTCACTGCAGATGCTTGCAGACTCTCAATAAAGTCCTACAGAAAGAAAATGATGAACTATTTACTCAATTCTCCCCAAAGACGGAACACCACAAATAGCTTTCTCAACGTATGGGGCCAAAGTTCAATCGTCACATATGACAGGCGCCGCTGGGCATTAGGGTACGAGTGCCCCAGAGAATCCTTTGGGAAGGATTACAGAGCAGCAGGGAAGAATTCTCCAAGCACCGTCCATACACTGGTCTCCGTAATTCTGCAGCCATATGACAACTCTAACGGGAGGTCCTCCTCAGTGGACCCGGCCAGGCCCACAGCACCACCTTCCTCCGTGGCTGAACTAGCGTTTACCATTCTATCTGCTTCTGCACGGTAAACCTGAGCACTCTGGAGGCCAGGAAGAATAGTGTGAACTCTCTCCCAAAGGAACTCAAGTCGGAAGGTTGAGCTGTGGGAACAGTCAGCCATTTAAAATGAGGATGGAATCTGACCGACTATTACAAGCTCTTATCATGTGCCGCATACTGTGCTGGAAACGATGACCAAGAGAGGAGCAGAGCAGCGGAGGACCCTAGTCTAGTAGAACACACAGACATCAAATACACAAAACACAATCCTGTTATGGAGAAAAGGGGGCCTGGGGACAGCAGCTGAGGAGGTCCCCCTGCAGGATGGAGTCAGGCAGCCCTGTCTGAAGACGTGGTATGTGAGCTGAGACTAAGAGACGAATGGGAACTAGACCATGGTTAGGAGTGGGAGTGGGAAGGGTACAATCTCATTTTGGGAGAAGGCACACTGTGTGTGTGAAGTCTGTGAAGATCCTGAAATAGGGGAGACTCAGTACAATCTAGGCTGCAGTGCAACAAGACCAGGGCAGAGTGGTGGGGTGCAAGGGCCTTATTTGCTCAGTAAACATCTCATCAACACCCTCACGGACAAGTGAAGGAGTCCGAATTAAGACTCTGGTACTCAGAATTGCTTGCAACAAAACTTTGTATTTAAAATTAAGACATACTGATCCAAAAGGAGAAAAATAACAGACCATTTTCCATATGGGAATAGACAGATTTTAGATGTGGATAGACAGACAGATGTAGACCTTTGGTGTAGTGCTGCAGGAGCTACGAACACCAAGGTTGGCAGTTCAAAGCCACCAGCCGCTCCTTGGAAACCCTATACAGGGTGGCCATGAGTCGAAACCAAGTCAACAGCAGCACGTAATTACAAACACAAACACATGTTATTAAGTGCCTTTGAGTCGGTATGAATATATGTGTGTGTGCCCTTTATAACAGACCATTATTATGTTTCTAAAAATAAGATACAGCACCATTAACCTCAGAATTAAGGTCCTTATATTACCAACATGCTCCTGTGGACATTCATAAAGTTTATAATGATAGTCATTCAATTTCTGTCATATCAACATTTTCATACGCTGATGGAAAAGTTACTCCAAAATACGAGGGGACTTAAAAGAAAAAAAAAAGTCCCTTAGTTTTCGATCCCATTTTCCATGAACTTTTTGAAGCTTCTTGTAGCCTATGGAGGGAGAGGTCCTCTAGGAGCCTGCTGTGAGTAACTTTACTGATCACATCTTTAATTCTTACTCAAAGCTAAAAATGAAGTTTTATTTTAACTCTATCCATTTGCAATCCCTGCTCTCACATTATAAGACAGGAAACTTTACCACTGTAATATATATGCTACTAAGTGTGCTATCTGAAAAATTCAACTCACTTAGGATCATTTTACACAATTTACTCTTACAAAGTAAAATCACTTTCCAGACATAAAATACATAAAGATGTGCGCCACACACCCCCAAAAAGTCTCACTGAATAAATGTATCAGACTCAGTGAAGCGAACTTGAATCTCAGTTTAATGGCACTGTGACAGGGACCAGTAAGCTGAAGTCCTTCAGGGGAGAAGTCAAAACCTATGATGTGCTGACAAATACTGTTCGCTTTTTACCCTTGGACTATCCTATAAGCTGAAGTTACAATCAGTCATACTCACACTAAGTGTGCAAAATCATATCACAATTAAAAAGTGAAAACACACCAGACGCCAAATTCTGGTGTAAATGACCACACAGTACGAGACGGTAAATAAAACAAAGTTTTGCTAGTAGGGTTCCCGTTCACACAGCACAAGCTTCTTCCAAAACGTTTTTAAAAGTCTGCAGTCAGTGGGGACCCCTGTCCGATTCCAGAGTCCCCGCTCTTAACCCCCAGAGGAAGCCAGGATAAACATCTGCGTGACCAGCTGTAGGTAGACCATCACCTTGTCAGAAAGAAACAGGACCGCCTGGCCCTTCCTGCCCCGTCCCTAGCCCTGCCTGAGGCGGGCCTGGGAGCAGACTGAGCCTTTGTGTCCTTAAAGAGACCCTGTGAGTCTGATCTCATCAGCCCTGCGACCACGGCAGACACAGAGCTGCTTTCAAGTGCTTTGCCCTCTTATCCAGTTTCCATCAAGATGCATCCACCACCGCCTGCCGAGATCATTACTTCTGAAAATCGGCAGCTACACGCCCCTTCAGAGAGCATTTGACTCAAGGCACTGGGGTCAACAGAGGTCATTCAGACTGACTACGATCACACAGATGGCACCACCAGGCTGAGTCTTACCTTCCTTGCTGAAGTTACCGTGAGACAGGAAGGCCTGGATGGTGGCATTGTGAAGAGTGACCGTCACGTTGCTCATGTGTATCTGGGTGTGGCTCACACACCTGTATTTTTTATCTAGGTCTGCCACGATGTCACTGGTGGAGTTCACAGTCTGGATTCCTGTAAAATATGAGGAATGAACACTATTTACAATACACTTCGTTCAAAGTCATTTTACACAATCTTCCCCAACCCAGCCCCTCACGACTGTCGATGTGGATTCGTCTGGTTCTTACCTGTGGAGCTTGCACTGGGGAAGGCTTTTGTGTCTGACATGTTATAAGCAAAACTTAGCGTCTGAACACTGTAACGTGTGGCATTCTTTGTAAATTGTAGTGTCAGTGTATGTCCGCTTCCGAAAGCAATGGCAAGACGCGACTCAGAAGCATTCTCTTTACCACAGAAGCTGCTATTCAGTACTGTCGCGTTAGGTGGCAGGTCAAGGGTCGCATTCTAGAACACAGTTACAATAAAATTCAGTTAGAATATAATTACTAAAGGAATTCAGAAATACCAACAGAAAGAATCTGATATAAATTGAGATTTTTTAGTTTCACCCCAAATAGCACTGCAAAGGTATTTAATATTAAACATAATAGTCACTGAATTATACACAAAGATTAATGAAATACATTGCTGCATATATTTATGAAAGTTTCTTCAAAACAAAGTCAGTATTATATATCCATAATATTAAAATTACTCAAATGTAAGATAAAGTAGTTTTCAATGAATCATAATTAAAAATTCTCTGAAAATGTTAATTTGTAACTAAATTAAAATGGAAGTTTCTTGTCAATTTACATTATTGTACATTTGTACTTAAATTAAAAACAACTATGATTATCCTTTGCTATATAAAGTTTTGTTGAAAAATGTCTCTTTCAGCAAAGAGAACAGAGATGTTCTTTGCCCACCTATTAGAATTACTCATATATACAAAACCACCAGAAAACGACCCAATATCCATTGAAAGGACCTGAATGTTTAAATGAATTGCAGTTTACTAGTAAACTAACACCGTCCTCGAAGCCCTGATGGCAACATGTCTGTAGTTCGAATCCACCCAACTGCTCCCTGGGAGAAAGAGGAGATTTTCCATTCCTGTAAAGATTTACAGTCTCTGAAGCCCTCGACAGGTTTGCTAAGTCGGAGTCGAGTCTACGGCACACCACAACCACACAGTCCTTAAAAAAGCACAATGGCACATAGAACAACGGGCTGATAAAGACGGTCCTGTGAAAACAGTGCAGCATTTAACGGCGCCTGTATGACCAATCCGGGTAACACAATGAACATACTAAAACACGCTGAATCCAGAACCAAATCCACAAAAAAGTGAAGTACAAAACGAGGGACTAGCACAGACACAGAATTTCCAAATGGCAAGGAAGTCAAATAGATTTCAAGATACAAAACACTGTTTCAAATAGGAAAAAAAATTAAGAAATTACAGGGGAACCGCAAAGAAATTTAATACGCCTGCAGATCAAAACTTAAAAAAAAAAAAAAAAAGGAGGAAAATCAGAAAGCTCTGGTATATATTAACGTAACAGATACGACAATAAAAGGAAAACCAACAAACAAAAGGAATTCAGTATAGAAAATGATGTGGAACAAAGAATCCAGAAGCACCGCAAAAAACCCAGCAAAATAACAGCAATCAATTCGTACCTATCGAGACTTACATGGAACATAAGTGGATTCAATGCACCAGTCTAGAGACAGACAGAGCAGAACTGATAAAAAACAGGATCCTTCAATATGCTGTTGACAAGAGACACATTAAAAATGTGGAGACAGCCTAAATGTTGATTATTAGAAGAATGGTTAAACAAACTTTGGTACCTACACACAACAGACTACTACACAACGCTGAAGAACAATGATGAATAGGCAGCGAAACCCCTCACAAAACGGATGAACCTGGAGGACATTATGCTAAGTGAAATGAGTCCATCACAAAAGAGACCATTCACTGGCTACAGGTAGACACGTGTTACCGAGTGCCAGGGAGCAATACAAGAGTTAAAGTGAACAAAGGGGGAAAGACTGTTAACTGCTCCTATGTGAAGGAGACAGCAGTCAGCATAATGAAGCAAAGCACGTGATTTCCTGACTGTAAAACTGACGCTCTGCTCTGCAAACCTTCACTCAATCCACTCAGAAGAGTTTTAAAAAGCAAACAAACTGAAGCACAAAATTTGAAATGCTTGGGCATGTCTGTATAACTTAAGAAGCTTTTATGCCACAAGCTCTCCCAGTTCCTTCTATTGAATAGAAACCACAAACACACACACAGTAGCAAGGCTGGTGCGGCTAGTAGTAAGTCCAGGATCACTATGGGTCAGAACCGACTGGACGGCACTTAACAAACAAGAACCTCAGAAGAAAGTCCTGGTCTACTTCACAAAAATCAGCCACTGAAAATCGTATGAAGCTCAACGCTACTCAGTAGTTTCATACATGGAATAAACACATGGAATAAACACATGGAATAAACACATGGAATAAACACATGGAATAACCACGAGCTTAAGTCAATTTGATAGCAACTGGTTAATTACTGTCTAAATTCAACAGATCAGAAAAGCTACATTACAATAGCAAAAAGAGAGGAAACCTAAATACCTGTCAATGGAAGAACAGATAAATGCGGCACACACAATGGAATACCATGAAATATTAAAAGAATAACAATGAGTCTGCAAAACACCTCATAGCACGGATGGACCTGAAAGATGATCAATCACCTGTATGAGATCACCATTATAAAAAGTCAAGAAAAGGTTTTCACACTAGAAGGTTACCAGGGAAGCAAAGGTAAACTGGTAACCAGAGGGTAGATACAGACTAACTTAGGTGAAGGACAAAGTACAATCTAGTATGAGGGAGGGCAGCCAAAAACAATGGAGGCAGCGGAAGACACTAGCAAGAGGGCAAGACAACCGAAAGACGGCTGGTCCATACCGAGTCCTGGAAGGGTGTAGGCGGAAGACGGGAGTACACCCAGGTCTGACAGAGCATAGCTGCACACGTGTGTTTCTATTTACAGAAACTATAGACAAGAACGTAGCTGAGCACGGGGAGATGAGGAGAGGGCAAGGCTGCTACAACCGAATCCACAGAGACAAGGTCCCACATCCCATTTCGGTGAGTAGCGCCCATTTAATGTGAGCCTGTGATTGGAGTCTGGAGGGGAGGAGTGAGGAAAATCAGGCTCAGGGACACAGTTACTCGGAAGGGCTAAAGGAGCACGTGACCCCCCGCCCCCATTCTCCACGACCAGCAGGATGCCCGCCTGCCACTACCAACTGCTCTGAAAAGGATCGCATTAGAAAGGCCTGGATAGAGTGAAAGAAAAATACTGAACTAAACTCAAAAGCATAAAAGACCAGGCTTACCGGTTGGACAGAGATGGGAGGACAGAGTCTGGTGGACCCCCAAGACTCCGGCCCTTAGCCACTCCCTTCAGGTCTGGAACTGAACTTACCCCCACAGCTCAATTTTCAGTCAAACAACAGACTGCTCTAGAAAGGACCTCCATACACTTAAATAGTCAACCATCTGAGATCAAAAGGGCAGCATTTACCCAAAGACAACAGTTCAGGAGGCACAGGGAGGACGTGGGATAGTGATGGTAACAACAACAACAACTTGTAAAACAACAACATCTAGGAACTGCTGAATGAAAATGGATTTGCTCTACAGACCTTCCCCCAATCCAAGGTCAAAAGCTTACAGAAGAAAACAACAAAGTCCACAGGTTTTTCACTGGCCATTGAGAAGAGTAATCTTAAACTGACCAGCTAACGAAAGGAGCGTGGTTTTAACAGATTATGGTTAACAGAATCACATATACTGTGATAATAAAAAATAACTATAAAGGTAACTAGAAAAATGCTCCCGATAAAACAGTGAAAAGCAGAACACACATTGTTCTGTACATTATGACTACATCTACATGATATAAAATAGTGGATGTCACAGATGAGGAGTCCTGCAGTGGCGCTGCGGGTTAATGCACTGGACAGCAAGGCTGGTTTGAACAATAAGGTCAATGGTTCAAGCCCACCAGCTGCTCCACAGAAACCCTGCACAAGGTCGCTATGAGTCAGAACTGACTCGACAGCACTCAACAATATTTATGAGCCTAAAAAGAATATGTAGCATGCATGATAAGAACCGTGTTGCAGTTGGATTACTTTTGAAAGATTTAATTTTTAAAGAATCTGTCTGTCTCTCTGGCACACACACATACACAGAGTCAAAGCATGAACCACCCTGGTCTTACCTTAAAACCACTCTTGGTCTCATAGTTTATGAAGAAGGTAGCTGAGAAGCTGGCCATTATGCAAGCTGTTCCGTTGAATTCTACCACAAACTCTGAAGATTTATGCGTGAGGCCTGCTATTTCCGGGAAAGACAAAACAGTCAAATAAACATCTTTGTGAAAATAAACAGGGCATTTCTGTTTTCTACAGCTTGTAGCACTAGTGAGTTTTATGAGAAGATTCCACCTTGTTTCTCAGATCACTACAGAAGGGGACAAGTGGTACAATTCTGAAAATCTCATCCATGAACCCATCTGACCCACCTCGTCAGCTTGTCAAACTGGCCCACAGCTACGTCCTGCTTTACTTCAGAGTTGTTGTTGTTAAGTGCCGTCGAGTTGGTTCTGACCCTTAGTGACCCTGTACAGGGTGTCTGAGGCTGTAAATCTTTATGGGAACAGAAAGCCTCATCTTTCTCCCGCGGAGTGGCTGGTAGTTTCAAACTGCTGACCTTAAGGTTCGCAACCCGATTAGTAACCACTCTGCTTACTTCAGAGCACTCATCTGGAAATCTCGGATCAGATTTCTGAGTCTTTACTAGACAAAGGAAGTCCTCAGGTGGCGCTGTGTGTTAATACGCTAGACTGCAAAGTCGGTTTGAACCCCAAAGTCGCAAGTTCAAGCTTGCCAGCCGCTCCTTGGAAACCCTATACAGGGTCGCTATGGGTCAGAACACACTCAATGGCAACTAACAACAACAACTAGATACATATCGCTCAATGATCCTCAAAGAAATTTACTATATGACTTGTGGGGGAATGAAAGACATAACTCAACCTTGCCCATTTCAAGGTAAAATAATATCTATTTTCTCAGAAATCACTGGGTTTGATGAGAAAGCTTTGTGGTCTTTAAAACTGCTACATTAAGTTTGATGTGTTTTGACTCTTAATGCTGTGATGAGGTGGAAAGAAACTCAACAGATCTGAGCTCTTTCTCCAGTTTCTGAAAGGTCTTCAAAAGTGGTGATTACATTTGATTTGATTTGCACTTAACTTGTGTGACCTTAGGCACATCACTTACCCTGCCAAGGCCCGTAAAGGGCAGAACAGAAACTCTCCTGGACTTTCTCTTTGAGTTTGTTCTTTGAGAAGTACTTCCTCTCTGCAGAAGGAATTCCTTGAGAGTCTTCACGGATTTCCTTATACCCCCAAGGTCCTGTGATTGTGATGATTCATAGCATATGCAAGCTCATCACTGAGTTGGTGGTGTTGGTGGTTCTGTGCTGTGGAGTCCGGTCCGACTCACAGCGACCCTGTACAGGGTTTCCAAGGCTGTAAATTTTTACAGGAGAAGAAAGCGTCTTTCTCCTGTGGAACAGCTGACAGTTTCAAACTGCTGACCTTGACGTTACAGCCCGATTTGTAACCACTATGCTACTATGGTAGACCAGTTAATTTTATAAACTGCTCATTTTATCACATCATTCTCTTACAGACCAGCAAAAGTGGTTTTGCTCATTCTAAAACCAAACATTTATCAACTAGCAGAGTTTAGCACAACTAGTCCAAAAATTAGGTGTCAGCATTTGGCCTTGGCAGCCATGAACATTTGCACATTTGGAATATGATCTGATTTGCTTACAAAAGTGCAAAATACAATTTAAGCACACTTTTGAGGGCGGCATACTGAAAACAGAGGACACTAGTAATTTTCTAAACCATTTAAAAACTTTCTACTGATTCCCAAAGCACTTCATTCATGAGGTAGCAAGCAGTGCCCACTAAAGTAACTTTTCAATCATACGATTTTTTTTTCATTTTGCAAATGGGATGAATTTTTAAAAGAAAACAAAGAGATACTGCTGATTTTTTTTTTTTTTTTTTAATAAGCTTTAGAAGCAATAGATAGACCCATCTTTATCCTGGAGAGGCCCCAAAATTTTGAATTAGTAAAGTGAGAAACTTATCCCCAAAAGCCAATTCTGGCCAAGAGAAAAATGTCTACAACATTCTAAGAGAAAGGTACTAGAAGTAGCTGTGTGTTGTGTCTGTCTTTTGAATTATTTTGTAAACAAACGTGGTAGTCAGTGAAAGAAACTGTCTTCCTACAATTAGTGAAGTGTCTCGGGTAATTTCACAGACGTGCAACCTCAACACAAGCATCTCCGGCTGTCAGCACCCCAGGCATCCTTCCCTCCCTCGGATGTCAGTGTGATCACTTCTCAAGGTCATATAAAGCACTAACTTGTGCTTATTCCTTCAGCATACTCCTGCTAACTGAAATGTGTATTCTTTAAAAACAAGTACAGCTGTGGGAAGAGATGTGCTTCTGAGTCAGAAGGCCTAGGTTCTAGACTTGGCTCTCTCACCATTTGACCTTGAACGAGCAGCAACCACCCAGCCTCAGTTTATGCAGCTGTAAAGCAGAAATCAGACTACAGACACCTCCGAGTGGTTTGGTGCATTGAGTGAGCCAGTGAATGCAAAGTACAAGAGGGCACTAGCACTTTAATGATTTTTGTTGTTAAGTACAGTGGAGTCATTCTGACTCATAGGGACCCCGTATAGGGTGTTTCCCAGGAGCCGCTAGTGAGCTTGAGCCGCCAACCTTGGGGTTCAAGCCACACTGCAGGCTAGCACATCAGCCCCCAGTGCCCCCCCCCCAGGCCTTCCTGTAACCGTAGGTTCTGTGCAGGCACATACAGACGGCAGTTCTCAACACACCTGTGAACCCACAGTGCTGGAGTACACATTCTATTCCATAAACACTTGTGCCAGGCACTGCTCCAAGCATTTGGCCGTTAATTTAGTTAGCATCCACAACCCTAACAGGTACACGGTTATTTTGATAGCTTCCTTTGACAAGTGTGGGAACTAAAACACAGGAAGTTACCGAACTTGCTCCAGATGGTACAACAAATGCTGTGGGGACAGAGCCAGATCTAGAACCTATACCTTCCGTGGCAGCAGCACATGCCCTTGGGTCCAAATCCTAGAAGGCTGGCTCCAGAGCCTGAGCTCTGACCTCCTCTCTCAAGCACTTTCTGAATGAAGGAGCAGGCTTTGGATTATGACACATTTGGTTTTGAAATGAGTTTGCCACCTGAAGGAAATAATCAATTTCTTTATAGAGAAAATAAGCTTTTTATGATGTTTGTTTTTGTTTCTTTAATCTGGTATTTTTCATAACTCATGACAAAAACAATCACCTATGATTTAAAGGAAGAAGGGTAAAAAAAAAAACCCCAAAATATGTGTATTTCTAAAAAGATGTATGCATATGTTTAGTTAAAAGCTTTACTCAAAATTGGACATTGCTTCAATATTTACTAGTACAAGTTGGGCTGTAAGTTGAGGAACAGAGGTACACATAAGAATACAGTCACAATACAATTCATGGAAGCTATCGTACAGCAGGGTCTGCTGAAGCAGAAAGAAATTCAAGAGTATATACATACTCTTAACACAGTTGTTGTTAAGTGCTGCCGAGTCAGTTCTGATTATAGAGTTCTCAAAGGAGCTCTGGTAGCGTAGTGGTTACGAATCCGGCTGTGAACCACAAGGTCAGCAGTTCGAAACTACCTGCTGCTCCACGGGAGAAAGATGAGGCTTTCTGCTCCCGTAAAGATTTACAGCCTCGGAAACCCTGTTCAGGGTCGCTGTGAGTTGTAAC